AGTGAGACTTTTGTATGTGACACTTGGCTTCTCAAGTTTAAAGTTCCTCCTCTCCCGACATTGGGCCAAACGCGCAGCCAATGTTGTCGCTGCAGGTGCAAGAGGGGGTTGTCTGACCTTCCAAGGAGTCTGCTTCTGACAAGGGCCCAGTTCCTTCTGACAAGGATCTACTGACAGACCGGCTGGGATGCGACTTCTAAGGAATGTTCTTGCCTACCGGTCTGTACCTGCTGGAATCTATCTTGGCACCGACGGCGGTCTACCGACCTACTAGGACTGGGCCCTGAGAAGGGAAGGGGAATATGCCAACACGGCACACGGAAAGTTGGATCAGCAAAATTGACCCTCAAGTATGAAGACGAATTTGGTGCAAAACAAGAACTAATCCCATGCCTCCCATATAGAAGCTACGGGCGATCGGAGCTGTATCTGGTCCGAAATATGCCCGGAATACGGCTGTAATGACCAGAAAGTGCCTTATCCTTCAGAAGAGAGAGTGAGGAACTAATTCCTGCGCGACATATGTTGCAGGCTCCACCCTCATCAGTCCCTCTCACTGAACTCAGTACTTTTTTGTGGCCTGAACTCTAGAGACATCTTTTGGATCTTGGGGTGGTGATCTGGGAAGAGTGATATTGAGTTTAGGTTGGGGTCTATCTGGGCTTTCGGTTAGAATTTATTTATTAAATTATTTATTAAATTATTTATTTATTCATTTATTTATTCATTTATTCATTTATTTATTCATTTACCTAGGCTACCAGCCGGGCCGCCCGGGTCCCGGGTGGCCAGCCCGTGCAAGGACCAGGGAAGGTCTTAGCAAAAAAAAAAAAAAAAAAAAAAACGGAAAAAAACTATGTTATGCAGAAAAATAAAAAGAACAACTTTTGCCTCAGGGTCACATCGAAATTCCTCACCAAATTTAGAATAAAAATTAAATTTTAAAATATATAAATATTTTTTTCCGGGCAAGTGACCCCGGGCCACTCTGGTAGCCTAGTCATTTACTTAGTTACTGTGTTTATAAACTGGGCCGCCCGGGTCACCTTGTTTGACCGGGCCGCTCGGCCGGGCAAGGACCAGGGAAGGTCTCTGTCAAAAAAAAAAAAAAAAAAAAAAAAAACATAATAGGTTGTGCAAAAAAATTTACTGAACAACATTTGCCTCTGGGTCGGACAGAAATTCTTTGCAAAGTAAAAAAAAAAAGTAAAAAGTGAACAATATAATAAATGAATATTCGTTTTTTCCTGTTTTTCTTTCTTTTTTTCTTTTTTTTTGCTTTTGCGCTCTGATGTTCTTGTGACAATATATTGTCACATCACTACAAACTAAAAGAGCGCACTTTGCGGAACAAAGAATAAAAGCAAAAAACGGGCACAGTGATGACATGCAAAAAGAAAAAGAAAAAGAAAAAACAAGGGCAGATTGAAACCATTAAATTTCTCATTCTTCTTTGAACTCCACCTCCACTGTGCCTCTCACGTGCAAGGCTCGCCACGTTGATGAAGTTGA